ATATTGGCTTTCTAACTTCCTACATCTTCCACCACGTCATACTTAGCTTGAGAAGATGAAATGGAAAAGTCATTCATGCCCAACTTCTTTCTTGGTACTCTTGGTTGACTAATTCCACTTGATCGTGTACTCCGACTTGGCATGTCCTCCATGGAAATTGACTCATCTGCAAATCGAGCACGTTTCTTCTCATGTGTCAGGATATCCACCTTCGACTTTGAGCTCTCTCCTTTCTCAAAGGTGCATTGATGAGGAAATACATCAATGGATGCTATTCCCTTATCCTTGGCTTGTTATGTGGCCGGTGCATTGTTGTTGTGCCGAACTCCATCATGTTGTTGAGGGTTAGTATAATTTTGCTGAAAATGAGGACCGCCACAAGTAAAACAAGAAACTACAAAGTTTCCTGGAGGTGGATTTCCTCTTGGATGATAATTTCCATACCCTCTAGAACTTTCTCCTACATTCTGATTACTCTTCTCCCACAACTGTACTACATTGATCTTGAGGTCTGCTAGAATTTCTGTAATAGATTTCAACTCATTTTGCAAATCTACATTAGGATTCACCATTGTGAATGAACTAGCAAGATTTGAACCCATGGATCTTCCTACAACCGGAAGAGCTATTTATCTAGCCACCAAGCTAGAATCATCATCTTCTAAGCTTTCCTCCATTCTAATAGCAATTCGAATGGCTTCAGCTTTAGAAGAAAGCTTCTCATATCTCACCTTACTTCGAATCTCGGGTCTCAAACCTCCAACGAAGTTCTTCATGAGCATTGCTCGTATCCCCACCATTGTAGCATCCACTTCGTCTCCACCCTTCCTCAACATCACGTGGAATCTGGACTCTAACTTCTCAGTTCTCTCCACATAGGTCATCACCTTCTCGTTCTCTCCTTGTTTCAAGAAGATGACCTCACACATCAGCTTTTCATAACTTTCATTAGGAAGAAAGTTTTCGATGAGGCTCTCCGTCAACGTCTCCCAAGTGTTCTCCTCCACATGTTTTCTCTTGTACTCCTGGTACCATTTGAGAGAAGAATCCTCCAAGAAATCCGGCAAAAGCATAGCCCACTCAACCTTCTTCCTTTCATTGTTTCCTATGCAAGCCCTATTGAAGTCCCTAACAAAGGCTTCTACATCCTCATTTTTCCTCCCATAAAACACCGAAAGCTTTCCCATTTCCAACTAATATTTTTTTTCTCTATTGGAAATTTATATGGGACTCCCTAATACAATACAAACAACACTAACTCCATCCTTGAATAATTCATCAAAGGAAACACAAAAGAAATTGGTTGCTCCAAGATAGCCAAAGCTCTCTCCTCCCCTAGGCATACAATGAGTCTTACCCTCATCATCATCTTCTCCATCATCTGAATGATGATCTCCATCTTCAGTTTGAGCTTGAACCCGTTGATGTCACTTTCTCCGTTTTAGCACTTAGCTTGCCGTCAAACCCTTCCACAAGTGATTCTAGAAGCGCCTTCACTCCACTGCATTCGTGTTCCGCCGATAGTTCAATCATTCCTCAATTGTCACAAAAGGTTGCACTTTGGGATTCATGTGGCGATGATGATCCCAAGTGAAGTTTCAAATCTCCCAAGGTCCTCTTGCTCCTCAATCTTCTATCCTTGTTCCGCAGGGAACAATTGACAACCTTATGTCCCTCCTCTCCACAATAAAAGCAAGTCTCACGTTTCACTCTTGGGGATTGACTAACTACTCTTTCTTCAAACTCCACCTTGAATTCTCTTGTATTGGAGTCTAGAGACACTATAACATCCAAACCTTGAGATACTTTGGATAACCTAACCTTCCAGCCCCCTTGATCACTCATTTTTCCATAAGGTGGAAACCACTCAAAAGGTCTCTCCCAGAAACGTTATCTACTAGGCCAAAACTGCGAATAAAGAAACCCAAAACTTTTGCTCTCTTATCTTGATTTTGTACCCCCTGAACTTCATATCATCATAACTTCTTCTCTAGACGTGATCTCTCAGTGAAATTTTAACCCGCATGTAGGTAATCTTCCAATACACACGCTTAAGAAGTTTCAAAGCCTAACTTGAAATATAGAAAAAGTAATTTACTCTGTACAAACTTTCCCGAGAGCAAACGTTTGGTATCCGTGGAAACCCCATCAACTTCTAACTCTCATATCTTTCTGTTAACACATGATCTAGACCTAAAACAAAAAGTCAAATGTTCTATATCTTCCACTCTTCAATCAATCAAACTTTGAAAAATACATTCAAAAATACTTTTTCGATGTCCAAGATCACTTTTCTTTCAAAAGTACATGTTTACGTGAACAAAACATACAAAATCACTTCTAGTCTATCATATGAGACCACTGGATAAACAAAGGGAATTCCGCTCTCAAGCACACTCTCCGCTCTTTCATTTTCCAATATTAACACTAAGTGATTTCTCATGGATACTTTCTCTCGAGCTAAAAATCGAATCCTAAACATTCCGCCTTCTAGATTGAGGTCCCGGCAACGAAACCAAAAATGCAACCTTTGGGCTGACTCTCACTCAGGTTTAGCTCAGATGGCTTTTCGGTAGCTCATCATGATTCTAGAAGACTAAGATTCCGCATCATACTCATAACCTAAACACCCTCTCACACAATCTTTCAAGGTATCACTCCAACTCATACACTCATCGACACTCCAAGGTATTGAAAATTCGTCACTCTTTCATATATGAAACAAGTCTCTACATATGAACTCTCCAAACTTGCTTGAGAAGCTCTTCCTCAGCTCTCTATATATAATACTTGAGAATTTACCATAGTAACAAATGAGAATTCATAACTAACTTACTTTTACAAAGATAAACCATAGTAAGGTTGACTAGTTATCAATATGTGGCAACATGCCATTGGCCCCCTAAACCTCTAGATGATTACTAAACCCTAGATTGAGGTGGCAACTTGCCATTTGTGACTTTCCAACTTCTAGAATTTCCACTTTCCACTAAGTCAACATTAGACTTAGTTTAACCAATGGAGTACTCCTTACTTTAGTCAAACCAATCAAAACTAAATATGAAGTCAAAAAATCTTTTCTCTTGAAATCTAGACTTTTTTACAAGACAAAATAGAAATGCTCACTCAAATCTTCTAGAACTTCTCTAGTTATTCCGCCAAGTATAGACATTATAGCTAAACTAGCTAGACTTAGTCATAACTAGTTAGATTTAGTCATGACTATCATAACCATGATTAACTCATTGGTTAATTCTAGTTTTACCTCACACATGCAATATCTGGTCTTACAGGCCATCAATGACACTGAAAAGTCTTGCATTGCTTGTGAGCTCGAAAGACATCGTGTACGATTGAGGCTGTCAGATTTCTAGAGTTTAGAGAAGCAAAGGATAGTATTTTACTTCGAAGTGCGTGGGAATATTTCTTAATCGATACTTGTCCATGTTTTTTTTTTTTAAAGGAAGCTTTTCTACGAAGCTCTATAGATGAATTTAAGAGTAATTTTGCTTGAAACGTCAAAGCCAAGTTCAAATATTTGAGTTTATCATGTCACTATTATCAATATTGAAGTATTGTTCGTATTTGAGATATTTTCAAGCTACAACCTAATGGTTCTTCACTTTTAATTCATTATTTGGAGTATGTCACTGTTAAGGGTTAACACTATTGGGAGATTAAATTCTGTATATGTATTAAGTCTAATTTAAAAATTTTATTTTGAGTAATTTTTCAATATTAAAAAATATTTCATAAATAAATATCCACATGCATTTATTCACAATTTGAAATATTTAAAGTTATACAAATATTGAATTCATCAATTGAAAATTATGATGATGAATTTTTTAATTTTATAAAAATATTAAAAAGTAAAGCTAATGAATTATTAAAATGCTTCTTTTTCATCTCTCTATTAATTACAATAATTATTTTAGGTTTATAAAAAATATCCAAAAATCAATATATATATATATATATATATCCATGAATAGAAAAAGTATCAAAGAAACAATGTAAAAATTTCTAATATGTAACAGTGAATTATAAAAGTATGACATATATGACTATCACAAATTCTTGTGAATTGCTGAAATTTCTTTAAAATATCAATTTAGTTTTAACTATCTTTAGAAATTTGTTTTAGTAATGATGATCTGCTATATCCTCAATTTCATGATATAGTACAGTTAGTTTAGAATGAATCAAATTCTAGCATAATGCATTTTTTATTGCATAAATTTGCGAAATGAGTTGTATGAAGCGGTAATAGTTTAGTAGAAATAGGTGTAATAAAATGATTGATGATGTACAGAATAAATTAGATATCTTCTCAATATTGGCTAGCATGAACTAAAAAAATGCAATCTCCGGAATAATAGTCATGTGACATAAATTGTATTTTGAAGTACTTAAAATGTAATTCAACGAAAGGTACCTGTTGTAATGAAGTGTCTCAGATAGTTTGAATCAATTTGGAATTCTCATGAAGTCATGCGTTCGATCACACAATTCGACCTTGAATGCAAAACAAACGTCCGTGGATAATGCAGCCACTGATTTTTCCCTCCGTGCGTATCATCATCTGTCCGTCAGTAAAGTTGACCCTATGCGAGTCTATATTTTATGGAAAAACATTTTATTCCAAGCAGTTATTATGAGTGTTGCGTTAATGAAAGGTTTTGGTGCATATTGTTGCTTCCCCTGGAGGATGCCTTTAAACATAATCAGTATCTGTACAGCGGTCCGATCAATTGTTTTACACCACGTATTTTCGTCTAGACCGGAGGCTCTTTGCGCAACGACATTTGGTACAGCAGACAGAAAGGGCGGCGAGAGGGTGGAGGAGACCCGGGGGACGACGCAAGAAGAGGTCCTGGACGAGATCCGACGGAATACGTTAAGTCTCGGGGTCCGCGGCGTGAGTATCCGTCGTGTCGATCGACGTCGAGATGAGGACCTGATGAATGAATGAACGAAGAAATGAAAGTGTTGCCTGGCGAGGGGTTGAAGTCCTTAGGGTAAACTCTCTCACTCCTTCTCGAGGCTGCCCACGAAGGTCCCCGCTCCTCTGTCAGCTGCGGGTGATAGGGCAGCAGGTGCAGAACGATTTGTCGAGAGCGCAGGACTCTTCGATCATTCCTGCATCTGCCGAGCGACTTCTGCCCGATCAGGCTTCGGCCCAAATTTTCACGACCACCATAATCCACCCATTCTTGCAGGATGTCTTACGACGATGTGGAAATCGAGGACATGGATTGGAACGAGGGACTCGGCGCTTACACTTATCCGTGTCCTTGTGGTGACTTGTTTCAGATTACAATGGTAAGTTTGACTCCATGTTCTGTTGTTGGATCTTCATTTGAGCCTCGGAGTGAGCCTTTCTTGATGATGACCTCAAATTCGAAGCGATGATTGACAATTCGAAGTTTATGATTTCTTTGCACAGGCTGAACTGAAAATTGGAGAAGAAATTGCCCGATGTCCCAGCTGCTCTCTTTACATCACCGTGGTTTATAATCCGGTCGGTGCCCGCTCTGCTGGCAATTCGTAGTCAAATTTTTTTTTAAGTGTACCTGTGAAATCTTTACCACCAGAGATCTGTGATTTACGCTAGGTTTTATAGCAGGATATCAGTACGCCTAAACAGTACAAGCCGAGAATCAATGACTGAATTGCCGCTTTGTGGGCTCCAATCTCTAACTTAAAAAATTTCATGCGAATAATATGCGCAGGAGGATTTTATGGAAACCAAGACGAAGAGTCAAAAGGTTCCTATGAAAGCCCCCGACAAGCCTCAACCTGCTGCCATCAGTGTTGCTTGATCATTGAATCGTATAATTTGCATTTCTGCTTCGGGAGAAGCAGCACATGTTACAACGAGTATCACAGAGGTACGTGTTGACAACTGGAACAAGGTTTTATGAATTTGTTTTTAGCTGGTCATAAATAGATGCAAATGCCTACCCACGGATGACTGGTATGGGTATGTGCCTGACATGCAATGACTACACGCAGAACTGAGTAGCTTTTACACTCCCGCGTCTGCTAGTGATTCAAAGCTGAATTCTGCATTCTTTTGTTATAGTTGCAGATTGTTTGATCATGGCTCACGGATGATGATCTATTATATCTTGGTTTGCAGTCGCAGGAAATATGGAGGGATTGCAGCTTGTCAGTGTGGTTCAGATGCTGAGACACTTGAGCCAGTGTCTAATTGCGAGGAGCACCCTGGTTTCTGGATTAGAAGCCGATCAACTACTCTACTGTTCCGTACACGTTGGCCCTCAGGACAGAGCTTCATGTCTGAAGTTCGTCTGGTATCATTAGAGTTTTGGGTTCCAGACATGAGAGTGGGTGGTGAGGATTTGTATTATTAGCAGTCTTTACAGTCACACGGAGCCCTGACTTTTTTTGGGGTTTAGTTTCTCCATGTTGAGGCCATACTACTTCAGAGTTGGTTATGAGACAGGGAGTGTTTGTTATTTACTGATTGGTCACTACCCTGGGAGGAGGTTTTGCTCTGAAGTGTTGTACTCTCTTCTGTTCTATTAAAATGGCTTCAGGATGCAAGCCTTCTTGTTGTCTCTGAAAGTTGTATATCGAAGGTCTTCGTCCGAGAAGCAACCACATTTTTGTTTGTCACAAATGACCGAGCTGTTCGCAAAGTGAACTGAGGAGAAAATATATATTGCAGTGCATATACACATAGGCGGGCGATGAGGAAGTGTTTGAAAGTGAGATTACTAAGGCAGAGCCTAATTTGGTCGATTTTTCTCGACCTTGAATACCTGGCTGTAATTCATGGATTGGAACAACGGACTATATGTTGCTCAAGACCGCCAGATCCTGGCAATTCATATCGCAGAAAACTCTCCCCTTCAACAAGTTGCACCATTCTTCCACCCTGTAAAATGGATATATCGACCCAGTGCCTCTGAAACCATAATGAAGTTTCAGTGATGCCGAAATCATAATCTCTTAAAAGTAACGCGTAATGTAAAACATCTCATGAGGTAAAGATGTCAAGTACCTTACATCTCTTCTGGGATCAGTAAAAGCTACGAAAGCCAATTTCCTGGCAGTAACTGAGTACACTCAAATGCACCTCTGTTATTGTGTACCTCGGTGGGTGTAGGCAGTTCAGGATGGCAAAGAGGTGACAACATCGAGTATCCGAACTAAATTTCGCTGTCGAGTAGAGAATATACCCCTGGAAGAGACGCCTTGGAATAATAATGGAAAATGAAAATCAAGTTGAGGAGGTAGCTTTGCTGGGCCAAGGTGGAAACGTCACCTAAAATTTCAAAGCTCGTAGAGGATTAGTAGGTTGCTACTGGTCGTGTCCTCTGACAGCGGCACCAGATTTGTGTATTCGGTCCTGTTGCGCACCGCATAGGCTTTGGGGATTCCCTTCCAATTTCTGCAGAGACCAGTTTCTCCCAGAAGATTACCACATGTGACAACGCGGTGGATTCTCGAGTCAAAAAAATGAAGTTTTAGAAGCCCGCCGAATCGAGACTCTCTTGCAGCTTCGAAACGCAGGGGATCTGGCAAGCAAAATGGCCTGAGAGAACTGACGAAAATTTGACAGGTTTCTTGAACAGATATATCGACTCAATGTCGATGGTGGATTCGCGGATACACCTGCATGTGTCTGAAAAAAGTCAATTATGTACCCAGCTGTAGATTGTGTCTGACAATCTGTGCATGTTTGAAGAAAGGATTTGATCCTCCTACAAAGAAAGGTTCGTGAACTTTTTCTTCTCGTGGAGGGCAAGGATGGGTACAGCGGCGAGTTTGTATTCTTGGCTCACTGCAGGCATGGCCCCCTTCATATTGCTGCATTATCAGGGACGCCGAATCCTTGGTCTGGAATTTTTAAAGCATGGACAAGAGCGGAGAGGATATCCATCGGTGCTCAAGCCAGAAGGACCTCTAATTTGGTTTCACGCCGTATCTGTCGGTGCGTAGACTGCTTCAGCTTGTTTTGAAATTTCTGTTCCGAATTCTTCTCTTTGTAAAATGGGTTTGTTGTCTGGAAGAGCTCACAAGTAAATGAGGATAATTATGTCCGTCAGGTGAAGCGATGGAAGCACTTCCAATGATTAGGAAGTGTTTGGAAGCTCGATCACATTTGAATATTTTGATATCAACCTCAACTGTTTCAGCATTGTAAGAAACTCATTGCATCTTCTTACGACATATACAGCTCTGGTTTGGAAACGTTACTTTGTTTATCTGCAAAAGATTTTCAATAGGTTTCAGCTGGTCTGGAATTTGCAGACCGAAATCAGCTTACCTCTTCTCCTGTCTGCACGGAATCTCTCTCCTGTTTCTTTGTAAGATGGATTGGTCTGTGTTACTTGGCCTCTCAATTCTCTTACCTGACTCGGTGACCTTGTCACTCCTCCATGATTTGGCTCAGTGCAGTTCAGTTCTACAAAAGATCCTTCCCCCAAGGGTGATTTGCCAGGTTTGTACGACCCTTTTTTTTTTTTTTTATTAAGGTGGCACGTCTTCTCCATTATATCTGTGTGACCATGTAGTTTGCCTGGCAATCTAAAGGTTTGTTAGTTTCAGCTTAGTTCTAATATGGCATCGTTCAAATGAAGTCAGCATGCATGACGATCAACAACAAGAAGCTTGATATGATTTCATTTGAAGGATGCTAGGCAGATTTTTCCGTCCTATTTATCAGCTTTTGACTAGCGAACTACCGTCTTTGAGAAGACATGTAGATCAATCACATACAGCATGACTGAAAGCGTACGGATAATTTATTTCGTACATCGAAATAAATTCTCCGTCGAGTAGATGTGTAGCATCCAATACTTACACCTGGACACTCCCATGTTCACAGTTTGCACCCATCGATACCCCAGCTGCTGTCGACAACTTTCTAACATACTGGCAGCCACAAGCTGCAATTTTTATGGAGAGTGAATTATGGCCAAACCTTATTCTGGCCACTTCAAGAAGAGGGGTTCGTCCATTGTTTACCTTTTTCCAATTTGCAACATTTTGATTTAGTTATTTTTGCCTAATATCCTAAACTGAGATTCTGATAGATGGATGTCTGTCGCAACCTTCATAATTCCACAGATCCCGCTCGCTTTGCTGAATGCCAAAATGTCCCCAGCTTCTCACCGGAGATGGTCACTTTCACCGGTCAAGGGCCTTGTGAAGGATATGATTACCAAATTTACTTTAATAACCCCCGTGGTAAGTCTTACATCTCTAGCGGACAGCAGGATACCTGTGATATTATCAGCATTATTGTAATGTATTCTCATAGCCATTTCAAAAATAGTCACTCGTTGATTTTCTTCCTCTTTGTTATTTCACAAGGACTGTGGTGGTTAATGAGGTTGACATTTAGTCATTTATATACATCTTTACAGAATAATAAGGAGTCTATACGATACCAAAATTTGGGTGCGCTTCCTCATCAAATACACTTTGGGGGGAACCTGAAGTACGGTAAGTTTTGCTGATCTTCAGCGAATCTGCAGAGGTTTGGCGCATTTTCTTTTTGGACTAGGAGTTCTTTGTATTGTGACAGCTGGTATTTCAAGTGTCCTGTCTCTTTGACTGTGAAGCAATCTGGTTCCTAGGTACGGCACACTGAATGTAAAATGTCTCTTATGAAAGCGAGTTTTCTGCTGACAGCTTCTGGGGCAATGGACCTCTCGGTTGTGGATGGACCGGTTTATCAAGGCTTGCGAAATCAGATACTCGGTCGACGAGCTTGGTTGGCAGCCTCTACACACAAAGGAGAAGAAAAGGGTTAGTATATTCTCCTCTTGTCCACATAAATTCAATTTACCAAGTTAAAACATCAATTATCAACGCATGGTTGCATTAGTTACGGGACCAAATTTAGAAATCTGGATTTTGGTCCATCGTTTACATTTGAATGATATTCTTTTGCACGTTAAACCACTTGATTCTGAGTCGTGATATTCGCTGAAATTGCTCCAATCTTGCTGCCCAAGACGGATGACTTTACACAGTTTTACTCGGGCTCTCTTCGTGCCACGGCAGTCAAAGTTTTCGCCACTGCTAAAGTGCGTGATGTTTACCTTTTGACAGTGATCGTCTCGGTCCATAAAAGGCTAAAGCAGCTGTTTCCAAACCTGCTGACAATTATCGCGCCAAGGCATCCCGACCGTGGAACAGAGATAGAAAACGTAAACATCTTGATTTTCTGTGCAGTATGTCAATATCAACTCTTGCAGTCTTTACAAAATCTAGTGACAAAAGAGGACAGTTTTTGAGAACCTTACGATTTGCTTCTATGTAATAGAGCATGTGTATGCCCAAGATGCACTGATTTTCTCATAGTCAAAGATTACTAGCTGGTTTAGTTTCTTCATCATGAAGATCCTTGCCTCCTATGGTTTTGAAGGCCTGAAGTATTTCTGATGATTCAGCATCAAGACATCGCTGGCCTCCCTAGACTGAAATGTATCCGTGGTCACTATTAATTCTGATTTTCCGAAAATTCACTTCCTGTTCAGAACACAAGAGACGCTCTTATTTCGGAGGTTTCTCGAAGATCTATCAACGAACGACTCACAATGTGGACTGAAGTGTACATCGCAGATACTCTAGGTGTATAATCTGTTCCTAAAACTGTATCTTTTGCAAGTGAGTTTGTGATGTGTCATGATCGAGTGGAAGATGTGACGAAGACCCAGGAAAGTTAGTATTTCTGGAGTGAAGAAAAGCTGGTAATACTGATTTTAATGCTGTCTCAAACCATGCAGGTGAACTGGCAATTTTTTATCACTTAGTTACCGTGGCTTTTGTTGGAGGCTCCTTATTTCAAGGACTGAATGGACACAACATAGCAGAGCCTGCATCTGCTGGTTGCGCAGTAATCACAGGTAAGGATGCTCAAAAGACTTACAACTTCACTTGGTTTTACCCGACAGTATTTTGAACGATTTTGTAGACAAGATCATCATGATATGCAGTGTTAGCATGGAGTTCTTCCAGACTTCTAGGTTCAAGGTTCTATCGATCATAAACAAAATTCGTTCCACGATATTTTGCATGTGCCCATGACGTGCTCTAAGTTTTCAAAGCACTTACATTTGCTCCAGGCTACAATGTTGGACACTTTCAGGAAATGGTAACAGAAATGCGAATGCATTCACCCTTGGCAGTTGAGCAGGTTATATTCTGGTCCTTCCAAACATAGTTCTTGTTGCCTACAACTGGTCTTGTCACTTAACTTGCTTGTATCACAAGTAATTTATATAAGTACAATCTTAAGCGACTGTGATATGGTCAAGACGCGTAGTCCTACTTAAATATGTAGCTGCTTTGTTTCTTCTACAGTAGCTGGTGTGTCCTGTCCACATGGCAGAGTTGGTTTGAGTTTCCGGGTTGTAAACTAACATCAGGCCTGTTGTAAGCGCTTGTATACAGCCTAAAAATAAGTAATATCACTCTACATTCGAGTTTCATTGATGAAGTATTTTGTGGCAGGTATCGGGGGAGGATGAGTTATACGAGTGTATGCGAAGGTTGCTCGGAAACGAAAGTTCTCTCGCTGCAAGACGTGAAGCTGCTCTTGCAGCATCAAATGCAGCTCGAGCGAATGTTGTGAATAGAATTTACAGGTTGCTGAACGTTCATGTTTTAAACCAGGCTCTTGGTAAGCTTAGTAGCGATGAGTAGCGACAGTACTCTATCACCAGAGTTTGATTTTAGACGAAAGAATATGAACTGAAGGGTATGGATTATGCTTAGCACTCTACACTTCCGAGGATGGAACACTGGGCCATATAGAAATCATGGCATACATCGATGAGTCTTGTAATGTCACTTACTTAGATTGTGCAGTAGGAGCAGTTAATTATTTTTGATTTCGCATATCGGAGAACGTCACCTCACCGGAAGCTTCATGGGAAGTAGGCGGCCCGGTCTGTTTAGAAGTGAAAGGCCGGTGTTTGCTAGCTCTTGTAAATTCATCGTGAAACTATACAATTGGAAGAGCACGCACCTCGCAGGAGCTATTAGTAAAGGTAATGAAGATAAGAAAGATCTACCAAAGAGCAGAATCTAAGGACGTGACGATGGGACGAGTTGAAAACTAATGTGGGTCTAATTATTGAACACGTACTCCTGACTACGCCTTTCATGATGAAATATTATCATGGGCATTTCAAATCTGGTGCTTCAATTTTAGATTCCAAATACTAAGTTTTTCACACTGTTCTACTTCTAGGATTGGACCTTTAGTGTTAACTTCATGGCTCGGCTCAAAAAGGACTTCATGTTCATGCTTACGGAATGATTTGGAGCAACAAGAATCCGAACACACACTAGAATACACAGGAATTACGTGGTTGACTCAAAGGTCTACTATGCCCACGGGAACCAAGTTGATATGTTTGTTCAAAGAAGATATGTTTTTTTGCCTTCACATATATATATAAAGCCGGGAGCATATATATGTAGTTGGCCCCTAAATGCTAGAGCTTATCTTAACTTGTGATGTTAACTAACAACTAAATCGAGTGAGTAAGAAACAAGAGCTAGCCCTAACAATTTTCACTTTAATTTGTATTGAATTATCAATAATCTCCTTAATCTATATAATTATTTTGCGAGAAATATTAGAAAAAAGTTTAACAGAATGTCTTTGAACAAAAGTTAACTAGGATTAAGCGGTAGTCTAAAAATACAAATATAGAGATAATTTAAATAATAGTAAATTTTACTTGTGCTCTTCACACGGAATTTACATATTAGCATAACGTTTTTAAAAATTCTCCAAAAGAATAATTTTGATCAATACATCAACTAAATTCAATTTATCACAAATCTTGACTAATTCAATACTTTTATCAGAAACTGTAATTTCATGAAATATTAACTGATGTCAATATGTTTCATTCGACCGCATATATCAATTGATTTGCAACAAGATGTAAAGCACAATGAAGATTGACAACTCTTTGTTTCAATTCCATTTTGATAGTAATTTTATCTAACCAAATAGTTTTTTTTCTTGTTTCTATTGTTGTTACATACTCAACTTACTTTGTAAACTGAACAACGCAATTTTGCAATGTAGATCTTCAACTAATGCATACACCACCAAGTGAAAATACATATGTTCATATCTTGTTCATAGTTAGCATCAAAGTAGTCTACAAGGATTTGACATTGTCTAATAAACCATCAAATAATAAATCATAATCTTAAGTACTTTTCAAATACCTGAGAAATCATTGTTTCGAAGTGAAACTTCACTGTATTCAACATATACCTACTCACCATAGCCATTGATAGAGCAATATCAGACTTTGTGCACATAATGAAATACATGAGACTAGCTACAACTTTGTCATAAAGAATATATGACAATTTTACTTTCTCAATGACATTGGTTGAACATTGAGATGCAGAAAGTTTGAAATGTGTTGCCAAAGGAGTTCACACTTCTTTAGAATCAGCCATGTTATACCTTTCAAATATATGTTAAATATATGACTCAATCAAATTCTCTTCTTCACCAAATTCTTATGAATGTCTATTCCTAATATTCTGTTGTACTCACCTAAATACTTTATCTTGAATACTAACTTCAATTGATTCTTGCATCTATCGACATCGGATTGAATCTTAGACAAGATGAGCATGTAATTCACATAGAGTACTAGAATAACAAGATTGAAGATCTCATTATTTATCTTCTCCATGTATACACAAGTATCATACACACTACGTGAAAACATGTGTGTCTTCATGAACTCATCAATTTTTTCATTTCACAACATAAGAGTTTGTTTAAATACATATAATGATTTTAGTAATCTACACATCAACTTCTCCCAAATTTTTTTTCTTAAGCTCAACTGCTTGTCTTATGTAAATTTTCCCTCTAAAGATTCATTAAAAAATGTTGTAATTACATACATGTGATACATAATAAGACTAAGTAGTGCTTTCAGTACAGAAATTAGATGAATTAGAGCATACTTTGCTACAAGTAAGAAAAATTTGTTATAATAGACATTTTTTGCTAGTATGAACCTCTAGCCATCAACTTGGTTTGAACCTTCTCATCATCTGCTCAATTGTCTTTCAATTTGTACACCCACTTGCAATTAATCAAAGCTTGATCCCTAGAAAGCTCAAATAGTGTGAAACAGCTGTTTTTTATATATGAAAAAAGCTGTTGATGTTTAAGTTTTTTTTCCAAAAAAAGCTTTTAGAATAATATAAATTATAACAATGAAATGTGAAGTACTGTGATGGATTAGATGGAAAAATGAGTTTCAGATGGTGGAACTTTCCAAACTGAATTTGATAAGAATTTTCACACTTCATATCAGAAAGTGAGACGTAAAGATAAGGATTTTAAACTTGTGTGTGAGGAAATAAACCCACACATACATTGTATAATCATCAATAAATGATATATAGTATAATTTCTCAGTGAGTGAGACATTAAAAGAGTATCTTCACACATCACTAGGTACATATTCAAGTGATTTCTTGAAACTGTGATTCCAACACCAAAAACTTGTCTTTGCTACTTGCACATGATGCAATGTTCGCAAAACTCCAAATCAATTTTACTGGTTCCAACTAACAATATTCTCTCGTCTAGGAAAAACATGTACATATTACTTATGTATCATAGCCTACTGTGCCACACATGAAACATCTCAACTTGAAATCTAATAATATTGACTTCCCCACGTATGGTTTTGAACTCTAGCAAGCATAGATTATTGTGCTTGTGTACTCTAAGGATAATCTTATCACGTATTCTAACCTCAAGCACACATTTTTTAGAGCTCCATTTAATGTCCTTTGAGTCTAACATTTCAAAAAGTTTTTTCTCATATTAAATATATATCTATCTTGGATCAATGTATGTTTGATTTCATCAAACATGAGTTTCTTCATAGATCCAACATTTTCAATATTCGTTTGATAATGAGAATATACAAAAGAACTCTCAAACGTAAAATATGTGATAAGAATAAGCACAATTAAGAATCCATATATCATCCACAATCTTTGGTGAATTGCATAGTACATCTGACATCATATGTCAAATATCTTACTCAATTCGGTAAAGTCATACTCTTTGGGGTCAAAATGTTCAGTCACATTCAGATTTTTACACCACATTACTTTCTGACGTGGCCCATCTTGTCACATCTCCAACACATCATAGTTTTTCTCTAAGAAGACTTATTTTATGAACTTAGATCTACCTTTAGATCCAAAACGCCCCTCGTTTTTATCATTCCTTGAATATGATCAACCTCGAGTCACATTTAATGCCGTACCAAGAAAAGGAAAGGGAGTATATATAATCTCTTTCAACACATATATTAAAAATCCCAAAAATATAAAATTTCACTATAAAATTGTGTTAGTGTTTCAATAATATTCATTAAATATCATATAAATTTAATTATCAAAGATAATATTGAAAATAATCTTTTAATTCACTTTAAATGGTATTTAAAATAATTTTAGTGATATAAAATAATTATATACATTTTTAATTTTGAAATAAATTGTGAATGAAAACTTCTAACTTATTTTGACTTGACATGCATTTGAGTAATTTTATAGCACAATATTTTATGACATGTGCTTCTCACCTATGATTAGATCTTGTTGAATGTTGAATGTTATATCAATTATTGATTTCCGTTGAAAAATATATCAAATGACATATATGTGTGTTGGTTTTTATACTTTTGTGATTCATTTTGTTATATTGAGCAAAATTATTGATTGCATGTGAAATAATGTTACACATGATTTAACATAATGTAATTTATGTTGTTGTAGCGAGAGTCATAATCAGACATTGATTTAGATATCATAATTAAATTTTGACCAAGTTTAATGTTGTACAAAATGTGTTCAGAAATATTACTGTCAAAATCCCAATATTATATTTTTGGATTATAGCATATTATTGATGTATAATCATGTGAGTTCCAATATTGTTTTAAACTTTTTTTTACTTCTAGGAATCAAAAATTGAATAGATAAAATTATGTTTTTCATATGTCTAAGATTGTATTCCAAAAAATTGATATCTACAAATGTATTAATTTTTATTTTATTTTTAAATAAACATTATCTATTCAAAATTGACTTGAATAATGACTGAATCCAACTTTGTAAATATTTTTGAGGTTTTAATGATTATTTATATTTAAATGTTATCAATAAATCATTTTTTCCATTTTTAGAAACAAGTCATTATAAAATACTATGTTCATTATATTTGGAATTTATTTGACACAAAGTGCTTGAATAGTTGTTATTTAAATTGCATTTTTATGAACATTTATAGATTTTAAATGAAATGTATGAACTTCATCTACAATGCTTATCATGCATTTTCATTTCAAAAAGCTTGCAATTATTCATCTAAATATTGATGTATATGTTGAGGTTAATTCCAGTAAATTTCTAATCTCAAGTTATAGCTATTTATAGCTTGGTGTGTCCTTGACGTTGGGTATATATAACTGTTAATCTATTGAGATTAAAGCATGGCGTGATTATTCTTCATTGTGATAGCCAAAGTGTTTTACATTTGGCTGCAAACCAGGTCATGGATAGCAGTGTTTGATAAAACGATTGAGCTAATCAATATCGTTGATAAACTCAATCTGGTTGATGATTTGACCAAAGTTATTCCTTTGGAGAGTTTCAGGCAACACTGTGCTACCATGCAGATTGTGCATGGGGAGCAAATGTAGAATTTGCTAGCATAGTAACTTTAGTTATCTCTTTATATATTTATTCTATCGTGTGATGACTACGGTCTAGTTCTAGTTAACTTTTGTGTAAAGAGGGGCCTTGTGTTAGGTTTTTGTCTAAAACTTTCCGATGAGTATTAATATAGGTTACAAAGGTTATCGTTTCTTTAACACGAGTTAAGGGGAGAGATTGTTGAGATTAACTCTGGTTAAGTAATAACCTCAGGTTATAACTATTTATAGCTAGGTGTGTTGCTGACATTGGGTATATATATACCCCCAAGACTTCTACTCGACACGCGTTGTATTCAGTTGTCCACGGCTGAAACAGGCGAGAGAGGTCTGTTTCAGCAGTGGACATAGCCATATGAATAATATGAGTATGAACCATGTTATACGAGTGTCTAT